CGGTATTGCACGTCGCGGGTGCGGGTCTTGAAAATCAGACCCGTGCAGGACTCTGCTGCAGAGTAAATACATATACACTTTATACAATGAGGCTTTAGCATGGTAGTACCTTAAGTTTGCAGTACCCTGCATCCACNTCCTGTACGTCCTGCTCTGCCTGAGCGCTGGTTAGCATTAGCCTGGCTGATGGGATAGACCTGGAGAGCATCCATTCCAATGCGAGGGTTGAAAACCTGTAGACAGAAAAAAGAACAGCGCACTACTGGTTAAACGTGCACACAGGAAAGTGCACTTTCAATGACTGCAGAGTAAATACACTTTATACAATGAGGCTTTAGCATGGTAGTACCTTAAGTTTGCAGTACCCTGCATCCACGACAAACATGATTCCGTCCACGGTGAGGGAGGTCTCAGCGATGTTTGTAGCGACGATGCATTTCCTCACACCATCTGGAGCCTGGCAGAGGAGAAATGAAAGGCAGTCAGCTTTGGTTTCTCACTTGTAGGACTCATGGATGTAGAGTGTAGAAACATTTGCAGCATCAAGACCAGTGACAGCTACAAACCTTCTGGAAGATCTTGGCCTGGAGGTCGGAGGGCAGCTGGGAGTAGATGGGCAGCACGGTCAGAGCCGGAGCGTTCTCCAAGTCCTCCAACCGCTCCACGATCTGATCCGAGGTCACCTGAAGGACACACATAAACCTTGAACTACAAACACAAAAAAGAAAGAACGTCCTGTTCCTTGCCAAAGCAAACAGACTGAAAACTTACCAAAACTAAAACTAATTGAAAATCTAATCAATTACATTTACAGGGTTCATACCCTTTTTCACCAATGACTTCTTCATGACCTTTACCTCATTTTCCATGACCAAAGAAAATGACTCTTTCTTTCATGTGGCCAGCAAACGCTGCCTCGCCCATATTAGAAATATTGAATATTTTACAACACAGTTTGCATTTAGCACGTCTTGGGTCAATGTGTTTTGCCACAATTGGTACTTATCCTTTAGAAGCCATACATTGTTGGAACTGCACTTCCCTAGCATCTTGGCAGCCTTATATCAAATAGTATCTGGGATGCAAACTCATCAGGTGTGAAAAAGGTGACAAGGATCCGAGCCCCCGGCTCCCCCACCCCACGGAATATTGGCTTTAAAATGAGGAATAACAGAGGATTTTAGCAGTCAGAACAACTAAAGCAGCAGTGTTAATAATAACAGAAACGCCAAAGAGTCACATCTAATAGAAATATATAAAAGCATTTATTTTAAATTGTGTAGCAGTCAGTTTATAATTTTGGCAGCACTGTTGAGCATTTAGAAAATGTATTTTCATGCCTCTGTGCAAGGCTTAGTCTTTCTATCTTTATAGCCACTGGTGTAAAGTAACTAAGTTCATAAACTCAACAAGTACTATACTTGGGTACAATTTTGAGATACTTGTACTTCATTTAAGTATTTCAATGTTTTGCTACTTTGTTCTTCTACCCCACTACAGTTCAGAGGTACATGGTGTACTTCTACTCCACTACATGTATTTGATACCTTTAGTTACTTTACAGATGTGGATGAAGGACCATAAATATAATCAAGTGTTAAATCACACTTTAGTTCCACCTGGAGTAAATCCACAAGCTACCCTGCAGTATACAAAGTCATTCAAACTAGCTGCACCTTTACCAGCTTTGAGAACACTTTCATGATCAATCATTATAAAACATATCATATATATTATTCTGAAATGGACCAATCTGCACAATGACTACTTTTACTGTCAATACTTTAACTATATTTTGATGAGAATACTTTTCTACTTTCACTTGAGGAACATCTTGAATGCAGGACTTTTACTGTAACAGAGTATTCCTACACTCTGGTACTTCTACTTTTACTCAAGTACAAGATCTGAGTACTTCTACTTTTACTCAAGTACAAGATCTGAGTACTTCTACTTTTACTCAAGTACAATATGTATACGACCTCTGTTTATAGCCTATGAAGAAAACTATTAGAAAACGAAGGCTAAAGCTAACGTTAGCAGATAGTGACAATGTATGCTAGCTAGCTAGCTCAACGATTCCTTAAATAATATTGCCACAGAAAAACTTTTCAGTTCACATCACGCTCTGCCGCTCCGACAGGGAGCTCTGCTCTGAGGGCGAAAGAGGGGGCGTTTTAAGATGGGCTAAAGACTGTTTGTCTAAATCAGTGCCTGACAATGATGGTGAGTCTGAAATTATGGTCGAGAGAAAAGAGACAAACGCGAAAGGGTACCACTTTCGCAAGAAATCATCGCAGCGTTGACTTCAACTTCTCCACTCCGTGCTGAGCGAGTGTCCTTTTGGTTTTGTCTTAGCTGTTGGATGAGATGAGAGACTGACGCCAGTTCGCGGAGAGTGCGTACTTTGTGGATCAGTTCGGGTCGGCGCGTGCACTCATAACGCCACGCGGTTGAGTGAGATACGAGATGCCATCTCGAGTTTTGGTTTAGTAGGGGAAACACAATTACTCTTTATTTGTTTTGACAGGTCATATTCTAGAAAGTGAAGGCACTATCGTCTGTAGGGGTAGATCAGTAGGTCTTTTTTAGTCCTGTAAGACTACATCTCAATTTTTTTTTTCTGGAACTGTCAGAGTATATGACGGTTATAGTATGGTGTTGTCGGGGGCGACCCGGACAAAAATCTACGGTGTTCGAGGGTAGTTCCTACCACTATGTCCGGCCGATTCCGTAACGTGAATCTATGCTATATTACGTACAATTAACAATTAGAATATGTCGAGAGCGCTAGGTGATGTGTGGGGGGGGGGGGGAGGGAAGTTTAAACGTAAAACTTTACGAGAGGCTAGAGACCAGGATTCCACAGATTCATACGACCACTACGAACCACACAGTCCCGGAAATCACTAAACGAGTACTACAAGCAAGAACCGTAGTTTAAGTGTGGAAGTATATGAAACCGTGTTCAAGTGTGGAAAGTATTTTTCCGGGGTGAACAC